GAGAGAGAGAGAGAGAGAGTTAATCCGCACTCTCTCGCTGACTCTCGCGATGAGTCAGATTTTGACAGTGCCCGTTAATCGTGGCTTATCGTGCTCCTTCATACCTCCACGTGCGCGTACGTCAGCGATATACGTTCCGGCTGCGGTTAAACATGCCTTCAAAAAACAGCCGGCAGTTAATAAAGTCCCGCACGAGCGGTGCCGATGAAATATCGTTGTTGCGCGATGCCGGTAAATTTCGCGTTTGGACCACGATCATTTATTTCCGCTCCTTCCCACGGCCAATTATAACATCCGCGAGATACACAAAATCACATACATCCTGCAGCCCTAAAATATGCACGTGTTTTCGCAAAAGCCAAAATTATTCTTCAAATAAGCTCGACAGCCTTCATCGGAGCAAGTTTTTTTTATTCGAAATTATCCTCAATCTCTCTCGAGACGTAATAATTTTATTTTGAATCATTAACAACGCGTAGCAAATGAAATTAATAGTGACACAGAGAATTGTCTTTGGATGAAGAAAAATTGCATCTCAAAGCTAAATGTTAAAAATTAACAGATAAACGGAGATACTGTAAATATTCTGTAAATTAATTTTGCGAAATTTTGTATTTAACAAATTTTTGCATTTAACAAATTTTTCAAATATTGTAAACTTTATTTTCTCAGATATTTAATTCCAAACCTATAGACATTTAAAGTTATTCGTTAGAAAATTGTAAAAAAATGCCTGTTCAATTTTCCATTTTCTTCGCAACTGAGATGCTTTATATAAAAAAGCTCTCTAAACTCTATTTCAAAAAATAGAGTTTAAAATTAAGATTATTCTATTATTTACATTTTATTTTATCTGAAATTTTTATCATAGATATTTCTGTATAATATTCAATATAAGAAAAAAACATAATCTCACGAATCAAGATTCTGGAGATGTATTAAAATGTATAAGTTGTTTGCGAGAAGAAACTATATTATTCAGAGCTTTGATGTAACAAGGTTTTTTCCAAATCAAGATTGCGATGGAAAACCTGTCGCGTTATCGCCGTGAATTTACTTAATAGATGACGTCATCTCTATAATCTACTCGATAAGCAGATGGTCAATCAGGAAAAACCTCCCTACCGAGAATCAATTTCGCTTTTCAACGTTTTTCAAAGATTTCTTTTTCATCTTTTCTGAACCTATCGAACTGGAACTATATCATTTAGAAAAATCGATGGCCCCGGATGTTCTAGAACATTTCCATGAGAAAAGATGACACTAACTGTAAATTGTGCCAAACACGATCCTTATGAAAGATACATCTTAACGAGAGTTAAGACGAGATGCTGCGTTGGTATTTGTACAACAAAGAAGCGCGTGTCCATCTCCCCACTCCTTTCACGTTAGCTTCGCAATAAAACGCAAGCATCAAACGAGGCAAGGATTAGAAACGTTTAGAAAAATGTATTAAATTTCTCGTAGGCAATATTTAACAAACAAGTACGATTAAATTTATTAATTTTTTTAAATCTGAAAAAAAACTATGCCAGTCCAAATTTAATTTTTATATTTTAAATATATCATACGTTTTTTACATATTTTTTGGATTTGTTTCGATGCAAAAGGATAAAGGGATCGATTTTGGTGGAGTTTTCGAGGAAAATAAAAATGTGAAAGCAACTTTGTATCAGTCGCGAGATATTGATGAGTTGTTTACGAACTTCAATGGAATGGGGCTACGGTTCATGATCACGTCCGCAGCGCGAGATATGCAAATTGACGAACGCTTCTTCCCTTCGTCGCGATACGAAAGTACGATCCCTTCTTTTCATCTGCACC